AAAAAAAAAAAAAAAAGCAGGCTTAAACCAGCTTATTTACCCCACAGCATGGCTATCATAAAAACCCTCTATATGCAAGCCATTGAATTGCGCGCGGTGTTTTTCGAGTGAGGTAACTGCCGTAGATGATTTGTACCATTAACATAAAAAAAACCGGTAGTTTCGTATATTGATTTTCTGTTGTCATCTAGTATACACCATCGCAGCCGTCATGTTATTCAGTCTATTCCTATAGCTATAAATGATCCTTTGATAAGCTTTCTTATCTAATAGCTCTACCTTAAAGAAGCCGAAATCCTTCTTAACTCCACGCAGCCAGGAAGCCCTATTTCATAAAGCGTCACATCAAAGGCGCGCTGAATCGTATCGGAAAACTCTTGAAATATCATTAAGAGAAAGACCAGTAGATAGAGGAAACGATAACTTTGATATTTGACGATTTTAAGGGCTTTTTGATGCATGATTAGCTTTCTCCTTTATATTATTCAAAAATTACTGTAGCTAGCTAAGGAACTAAACAGAAAAGAAATAACCTTTCAATCATTCACTGAAATAGAAAGCGGTAGGATGGATGGAAGATAGACAAAGGAAATAAGAAAGAAAGGAGAAGAAAAACGAATGTATAAAGACAAGCTAGAATGAGAAAAGAAAATGGATGGTAGAGAGTAACAGAAAGAGGCATAAAAGAAGAAACGAAAGAAAGCGAGAAATTAAATGAGCAAAAAAGGAAAGACAATATGAGAAAGAAAGAAAGAAAGAAAGAAAGAAAGAAAGAAAGAAAGAAAGAAAGAAAGAAAATAAACCCTCCGTTTCGAACAATTAATTAAATTTACTTGGCGTATATTGGCTTACAAGATAATCCATTTACTACAAGATGATAACAGTGTTTCTCATGCGATTGATAAGGCCCGGTGCTGACCCAGTTAGATTAACTCTTTTTTTACCACATGCCACGTCTGTAAATATACCAATGGAGCTGACTCACTCAGTCGCGCTCTGAAGTGCTTTGTGGATTTTGCTTGAGTTACAAATTTTATTATGTAAGGTATCAGGATAACGTGAATTGAAGCGGTGAAGATTAGCTTAAAATTGTTTAAAGTTCTTCCGCATACGTTATTAGTTATATTAATTCTGTTTTAAACACTAATCTGGTCCTAATTCCCTTTGAGTGCTGCTTAAACATTTTTCTCAATTTATTTCAAAAACCTTTTTGTGAAGAGATTTTTTCCCCTTTCATGGAATGGATCCTGCAATCACTCTTGTAGGGTATCCTCCTCTTCTTTTTTATAGCTAGCTTGGAATTGTTTCGTTCTTTCGTTCGTTTCTTCATTCATTTGTTCGTTGATCCATCCATGCATCCATGCATCCAT